CTGTTTCAAAACCTGACTGAACAAATGTGATGAAAAATTTGTTCCTTGGTCAGACTGTATTACTTTAGGGATGCCAAACACCGAAAAGAACCGAGTAAGCGCACGTACAACTGACCTAGCAGTTATCGTCCGTACGGATAAGCTGCTGGATAACGTGTAGTTTGACACATTACAGTGAGTAGATATGAAGACCAGCCTTTGAGCGAGGCAACCGACCACGCAATCTATGATCAAATGTTCAAATGGCTCAGACGCAGCGATAATTGGGCTTAAAGGGAACGGTTTCGAAACCTGATTGGGCTTAGCAATGAGCTGACAGACATGACACATCTTAATATAAGACGAAACGTCCTTTTTAAAACGGGGCCAGAAAAAATTTCGCAAAACTCGATCATACGTCTTACTACACCAGAATGGCCAGATTCATGATGAGCAACTTTCAACCCTGCGGAGCGTAGCTTAATGGGAACCACTATTTGTAATACTGGCTCACCCACAACGTCAGCATGTGGTAACCATTTCCTCACCAACAATGAATCCTGCAGGAAATATCCGCAACACAATCAGTTATTTCACTTAATGGGCGAACCTGGTCAAAAAGAGTCTCCAGTGAAACATCAGCTTGTTGTTCCGTCACGAACTCACTGCGAGACAGAGACGTGGGAAAACTAGACAAAGGCAAATTCATTTTCACACATTTCTCGTCTTTCACGTTCTGACCGCGAGCCACGGCCCGAGTAACTGCGCATGCGCTAAACACATCTGTGAATTCCCCGTTCCCTCAGTCTGAGGAATGAGTCGCTCAACTGGCTCTGAAGTAACCAGCTCATCTAACGGCGCAGCGTCCGCCCACAAGCGAGTTCCTGATAAACCGTAACCCAAAATCACAGAGACTCCATCAATTGGCAAAGCAGGGCGCACAGCCAACTGCGTGTCACCAACAAACAGTTCGCAATCTAGAAAACACGGTATGTAATGGAGCAAACATGTTTAATCCCATTCCCAGAACTGGAACACAGGCACCAGTCTCAGACTCAGCCGAGAACGGCAACACGTCAGCTCTAATAAAAGAGTCAAACGCCCCAGTGTCTCTCAGAATCTTAACTCGAGCCTTTACCCCGCCATTTGGCAGTGACACGAATGAAAGGTAGGTATGAGACACCTACTTCAGAGGCCCGGGTGTTCTTCATGTCCTCTAAAGGACTCCGCACCGGCGAAGCCAAACCAACTCCTTTAGGAGCAGTTTGAAATATTTTTGTTTCACCCTTAAGCTGATGACAATCTGTGACAGTAGTGACAAACCCGATCATCATCCCGAACAACCGGATTTTTAAACTGACTGGTCTCCATTTGCTTAGTGACACCACCAACCCGATCACTGCGGCTCACATCTCGTCCAAAATAGCGTTTAAAACCCACAGGACCCGAATAATCCTGATGAGTCAGCTACTCGTCCGCCAACACCGCGGCCACAGAAATGTTTTTAGCTTTCTGTTCATTAATGTAGGTTGCAATGTCTTCCGGTAAGCAGTTTTTAAATTCCTCCAACATCAGATCGCGGAGCTGATCAAAGTTCTTAACATCCTGTGCAGCACACCACCGATCAAATAAAGCAGTTTTAACACGACCTAACTCAGTATAACTGATGGTTGGCTTTTTTATAGCGGTAAAATTTTGCCTATATGCCTCCGGCACGAGCTCAGAAGCTTTTTCCACTGCACTCTTCACTTTATCATAACCTAAACTGTCAGTAGGCGACAGCGAGGCATAGGCTTCCTGTGCTTTACCAGTGAACACACACTGCAGAAGCAGCGGCCAAACATCCTGAGGACACCTCAGTGTTTCTGCCACACGTTCAAACAGGATGAAATATTTATCCACATCCAATTCGGTAAACTGTGGAACCAAGAGAATACATTTGTTGATATCAAACTCTGCCCCTGCAGAACTGCCATCTTGATCGACTAAAACGTGCACTGAGTCGCGCCTCGCAGCTGCCTGCAATTCTAATTTGCGCATCTCCACTTGATGCTGCAGCTCTTTCTCTCGGAGCTCCAAACGACGCATCTCTAACTCCAATTCCATTTTGTGCACCTCACTGGTAGACGCCCCAACGTCACCCTGGGTGGTTGATTCGGGAGGTGGCAAAACGTTTTACTCAATCAATGCGACATACAGTCGCCTTCTAATAACCTCCTTTTTCTCTTGTTTAATCAGGCATCTCAAACTGAGCAGCAATGGCTACGAGATCACTTTTACGAGCAGCATGAAACTTTTCCAAAGAAGGTTTAGCTACAAAGTCGTCCAGATCAAACTCCATATTTTTAAGAAAAACCGCAATCATACTACAGGAGAAAAAACAAACTAAAGGGCAAATACAGCGTAAAGTGAAAGAGTGCGTAATGGTTCCAAAGCAATCATGTCCCCACTAAACTTTACCTGCCTGTCAGAACTCACCTGTTTAACTGATTCCTGGCTCTTCACGTGGATCGGCGGCGGGTTCATTAAGCACCAAACCAGTGAGAAATTAATCCCACGGATTGCCCCCGAGATCACTGCTTGCACAGTGAACACCAACCGCAAACCCCCACGACTCTACTAAAACAACAAACAGGTGAAGTCTAAAGCGACAGCAGCTCTTAGCCTATCAGGAGACACAATCACAGAATGAGAACCACACCGACGCACAAACCCCAAAACATTTCACTCACCTGTCTTTTAGACCAACCGACAAAACGCGCCACAGCTGCCTACAACAAACAAACTGGTTAACAAAGCCGTGTCCCATCCCAACGGTGTTGTCACTGCTCACTCCTACAAACAGAAAAAAGGTGAATGAAAACGTCACACTCAAACCAACAATTTCCCAAATTGCAAAAGTCTTGTGTTTGACGAGCCCCCATTTGTTACGGCCCGGCTCAGGAAGCCGCAACAAAAATTAGGGGGACACGGCAGCCAGTGATGTTAAGCCCATGAAAGGCGCTTATTTTTAAAAGAATTGATTTGTCTAGGAGACATCAGTCCAGGCCCCTTCAGCCTGGTCTCAGCCTGGATCTCCGGGTCGTCTGCGCGTGGTGGCTTCTGCAGTCACACCCATGAATGGACCAGCGCTCCTTATATACCATCCAGGTGATGGAAGCTCCTCCCACATTGAGGACCTTAATTGATAGTTAGTAAATCACATGACACACACAGGACTGTGATAAACAGGGCCGTCACATGGACAATTTGGGATTTTGATTTAATTTTGGAAAGGCTAATTTTCGTTAAAAGTGAGAACAGTATTTTGGAGAAGAACCGACTAGAAACATCTTTTGGGGGATAAAAGGAAATGTTCTACCTTGTGAAATTTGACAAAACGTTATAATAGGTAGCAATTCTTTGAAGACACTCGGTTAATTGATCAAATATAAAAACAGAAACAATAGTAGCGAAACTAAAGGTGTTGGATGTAGAAAAATAAACTATCATGCATAAAAGATACCTGGAACAGTGAAATGGAGAAAGAAAACTTAGCATTGAATACTAAGGATTTGTTTGAAGGTACAATGATGAATCTGTTCCATCTGAATTTTTATTTGCAGTAGTGGACTTTGATTGATGTATTTCCATATAGAAAATACTTCAAAAAGGGGAAATTGTTGAGATTATATTGAAACTTATGAAACATAGAAAACATTTTTAAGAAAGAAAGAAAAAATAAATAAAAATTTATTTTAAAATGTTTCAATATGGGAATGTTTAAATATAAATTACAAGTCAGAGTTGAAATTGAAAAATAATCTACTGACATTTAAACAGGAACAGAACAGGATGAGCAGCAAATGAATAAAATGTGTTTATTTCTCATTAAAACACATGAAATAGAACTGCAGTAAATATGCAAAAAATAACATTTGAATCCAAGATGAATTTAATAATATAGGAGATAACAGAAACAAAAAATATCCAGTGATTGAGAAAAACTGCAGTAAATTCAAAGAATCTGATGATAAATGAAAGGAAAAAATCAAGAGAGAAAAAAATCATCCTGAGATTCATTGTGAATTTTTGACTGGAAAATGATAAAACATGTTGATCCAGTTATAATCCTGGAATAATCCTGGAATAATCCTGGAATAATCCCCGGGTTGTGTAGAAAAGTTTAACCAAGACACAGATTGGATCCATGAAAATGTTTCTGAATGAAACAGACATATAGAGACAGAACTATCATTTAAGCAGTGAGATTTTCTAGCAGGATGAAAAACTTTAGACTCTTTAGACTCAAATCAGCTCAGAAACACTGAAGAACCATAAGACCAGAACCCAAATCCAGGAATCAGAGGTTCAGTGAATGTGGTGTTGAAGGTGTGGAGGAGGATCAGTGAGTCAGAGGAGACTCTGTAGAAGGACAGAATGCCAGCAGGACAGTCCACATACACTGCTACTCTGTTAGAGACAGAGGAGGAGGAGAGATGAGTTTCTATGTTATTGTGCCAGACAGAGTAACCATAACGATCAGAGTAACCATGACGATCAGAGTAACCATGACGAGAGTAACCATGACGATCAGAGCATCTCAGACTCCAGGAATGATCATTATATCCAAACCAAGAGTCTCCACTGTTTCCTTTCCTCCTGATTCTTCTGTAACTCACTGATATATTAACTTTTCCTCTCCACTGAACCTCCCAGTAACAGCGACCAGTCAGACCAGTTCTACACAGCAGCTGAGGATATATATTAAATCTGTCTGGATGATCAGGATATGACTGAAGCTCCTCCACAAATGTCACCTTCCTGTTGTCTTCAGTCAGTTTGAGTTTTCTGTTCACTGTGTTTGTGTCGATGGTGAGTTGACAGGAATCTGATGGAGAGAACAAACACAATCCAGCTGCAGTTATTGATCATTTATTGACACTTTGACTCCTGAATGAGTGATGTGACAGTTTGAAGATGGTTGAATGTGAGCTGCTTTGTTGTCATGAATCAGATGAAAAACACACTTACATCTCCATGGACCTGGAGTCAAGAATGGGCCTCCAGCAGGCTCCACCCTGAAAGGAGGAGGGGGTCAGACCATCAATCTCTTTCAGCACGTCCTCTACCAACCAGCACCACCAGGTGGCGCTGCACACATTTACAATGAGCCCAAGAAGAAGAAGCAGCATCCTGAATCCAGCAGCTGCAGTAATGGCTTGTGAAAGTAATCCTCACTCCACTGCAGAAGTTCTGGATGAACTGATCTTGTCTTTTTATCTTTCCCAGTAAATTTCTCAGAAGTTTGGATCGGAACCAGTTTCTGCTCTCATTTTTACATTTTCTACTTTTTCCTCATCATTCCGTTCAATTCTTCCTTCCTTCTGGAAAACAAGGGATTTACTTTATTCCCTGATTTCATTCATACTTTTGATCATTTTCCAGATGTCGCCCCCTGGTGGAGATAAACTGCCACATAGATGGATCTACTAAACTTCTAAATCTCTTCGCATTATAAATAGTTTTCTTCATTTTTTCGTGTGTTTTATATTTTAAGGTTTGCTTTAAATCTGAATTTATTTATTTCACTCTGAGATCTTTAAACATCCATCTGATCACCATGGAGCTGCTTTTCTTCTCCTCTTTGCTTCTGGGGGCTGATTGGTCTGAAGCTCCATCCAACATGGTTTTAATGTTTCTATCCTCAGTAAATCATCATAGGAATCTAACAGCTGAACTCCTTAGACTCCTGAATGAGTGATGTGACAGTTTGAAGAAGTTGAATCAGAATAAATTCATTATTATTTCCAGTTCCTATTTAGCTCCAGGCTCTCCTCACGTTCTTAGTTAGAAGAATTTTCCACAATCAGCTGAAATCTTCCTAAACACGAGTGTTAAATCAAGAACTGATCCGTTTCCTTCATCAACATCTTTTGTCTCTTTTCCATCATTCAAACATCATCAGTTCGTATCTCTAAATGTTCTTCTGCTCTTTCAGTTACTTTCAGTTTCTGTTTCCATCCCATTATATTCCATATGCATTAAAGTTACTACATGTTATTGATCATAATTATATCTTTCTGGATCAGTTCCTCTATTTATGTTTCTTGTTTCTTTCTTCCTGTCACTGAAACATTTAAACTGATTCTAAAATCTATATTTGCTCTCAGCCATGTCTCTTTATTACTAATTATTAGCGACTGTCAAACAAAGTCTCTGATCAAAACTTAAATCCAATCTGCAGTTATGATTTTATTTTCCTCAATATCATCAAGATCCAGAACATCAGTGGATAACAGATATTTGTGTCCAAAAGCATAAAAACCAGATTAACAGGTTTAAACAAAGATCAGAGATAAAAACATAAAAGCTTAAAGTGATCAGTAAAAACTAAACCTCCTCCATCATCACTGACTAAAGTCACCAGGTGAGCAACAGCTGATCTATAATCACTAATAACACCATGTGATCCAGCACTACATCTTACACAACAACAATAATATCTGATTTATGATGTTATTAATCTTCATATTTAACTTCCTGTCCATCAGCCAATCAGCTTCTTGTATTTCCTCAGTAGATCCATCAGTGGAAGCCCCGCCCAGCCCATGATGCTCCTGGTTTGTGAAGACAGAGAGACAAACTGATTCAACTGATTTTCTCTCTCCAACCTCTTGGTTCCACATGGAGCTATATTTGGCCCCCTGCTGCTCTGAATACCATGTTATTGTGGTTCAGTAGATGGGTTGGTTTCCCAGGTTCATTCAGAACCATGTGAAAGATTCTTCTAGTTTCTAATTGGATGTAGTTTGCAAACTTACACAGCCAAAATTACCAGCAATATTTATAATTTCACTGTAATAAATACAAGCCAGATACTGAATTAGCATAATACATTTTAATCTTCAACCTAAATGTTTCCCAGCAGACTGACTAAAGACATCTCCCTCTTCCTCCTCTATCAGATCTTCTCTGCTCCTGCAGCAGGTTCCTCCATACCTGAGAGCTTCCAGTCTCCAGTGTGGATCCTTCAGTCCAGCCGACAGCAGCTTCACTCCTGAGTCTCCTGGATGATTGTAGCTCAGGTCCAACTCTTTCAGATGGGAGGGGTTGGAGGTCAGAGCTGAGGCCAGAGAAGCACAGCCTTCCTCTGAGACCAAACAGCCTGATAAGCTGCAAACACACAATTCATCACATGATGAGAAAATGAGAACATTGAGGTAGAAACCAAGGTCTGAACTGGATATTTTCATGAGAGGAAAACTCTCAAGAAACTGGAGATTCACCTGTTAATAACATTAAAAAGTAATAAAACATTACTTCAATCTGTAGGTAATAAAAATCTGAATTTGTCATTTGTAAAATTAATGATAAAGTCTAATAACTGGTTGGAGGAAGAATCTGCAATAATGCTTCTTTGTACTCTGATGATGCAACAATCTGTCAAGTGTCCAGCGTTACACTAACAGTTAAAGCCTGATCTCCATCTTTCTACATTCCTCTCTTCTTGGTTCTTTCAGCCTGGAGTAAATGAAAACAAGCTGAGTTTATGTGTCAAGACTTAGCATGATTAGCCTCATCACAGTCAGACATCTACTGATGTCATAATCTGATACTGAAATAAAATTTACATAATATCTTATAGCAGGTAATGGACAGAAATCTGGTTTCACCAGGATTGAGAACATTTTACCTGAGAGTTTCCAGGTTGCAGTTTGGACTCTTCAGTCAGCAGAGAGAAGCTTCACTCCTGAATCCTGCAGGTTGTTGTTACTCAGGTCCAGTTCTCTGAGACTGGAGGACTGGGAGCTGAGAACTGAGGACAGAGCTTCACAGCTTCTCTCTGAGAGGTTACAGCCACTCAGTCTGAGGAGACAGGGAGGAAAATCTGTTTTTAATCCATCAAATGTTTGTGTTACTTTGCAATCAATAATATTCTTCTTGGACTGATTGAAGGTCATATTTTCTAAACTTATGATATCCTTATTTGAAACTGGTTTATTCTATAGTTGGGACTCAAGACTTGAAGAACTGAACTACAGGCAACAAGGACACTGGAGAGAGAAATATTAAAATCGACAATAAACTCCATTAATTCAGTTGCTGATGAGAGTCTGTCTCTCTTTTACTCATCACCTGCTAGCAGCAGACTAGGAAACAATGTACTGATAAATAATCAGTAAATACCAGTAGATGGTTTGGTTTCCTAGGTACATTAAGCACCAGGTGAAAGAATCCTAATGTTTTAATGGGCTGCTGTTTGCAAAGTTGTGCAGTCAATTTAATCCTGTAACAGGTTGGCCTTTTTTGGCTGGATTTTTCAGGGCAGATAGATGAGATGAGGCAGTTAGGTGGAACAGCAGGTTTATTCCTCCCAGCATCACAATCACATCACAGGTGAAAACTACAATCTTAAATAGTCCCAGCTGTGACAGACCAAACCATCTGTAAATTCATAAAATAATCCCATCTTACCCTGTTCCACTTAATTGAATAAAATACATGTTACTATAAACACATCAACTTTCTTTTTATAAATATTTTTTATGTTTTATTCTTACCCTTACTAAAACACCATAAAACAGTACACCATAAAACAATACACCCCTCTCCCATTCTTCTCAATGGTCTCTCCCAGGACCTATAACATTGTCCAGCCCCTTAGGACAGTATTTGTCCAAACATCCTGAGGACACAGAAAAGACAGATGAGTCACTCTATATTAGCACATTCCACACCTCATAAATTATTTACTTAGTTTTATCCACCAATAGCTCATTGCTCTGAGTATCAATTCTCCTCTCTTCACAGTTAACCACCTCCACTGGCCAATGAGGAGCAGCTGTGCAGAGCCCAGAACAAAGACTACACACTAATCACTAAAATACTCAATAAATACAATTAAAACTTCCTGTGTGCAAAATGTTAATCATTTATAGATCTACTTTTAAAGTGCAGTGCTAAATAAAGTGCATAGTGACAAAGTGCAAATGTTTTTTTTACAGTGCTATACAATACATTGAATAAATTAACTCAGTAATGAAGGTCTCTTCATTACAAATCCCAAACATGTTTCTGCAAAATAAGAGTATCCATTTCCATCCTTAGACTTCCCTAACACATGATATTTATGAACTAATTAGAGGTGAGCTGATTGATCGGCCGATTTCCATGAAAAAGTGTGTGATTGCTGATCACTGTTTCCTGCTGTCGATCACATTTATGATGAGCTGCCAGCTCATCTCCTCTTTCCTTCTCACTGCACAGCAACAAATCCTGTCATGTGGAACTATAACACTCTGATAGTGAATGGGGAAGTTTGTGTTGCAGCGGAAAATTACCTCGGAGGTGAAGCATGTAAAAAATACATCAAAACAACAAATCAAAAATGACATAACATTTTAAGCACTTGATGGAGTTTGGCTACATTGAGGCTCAATGCAGGAACAAAATGACATCCTGAGCGACCAGACAGCAGGTAAAGCAGCTCAACTACCAACAGTCACCTGGATCAGCATCACGGTCAGAAAGCTGAACAAATAACCAGAAAAATAATTCAAGTTTTCAAGCTGGTGGTGAAAGACACTGGTTCTGCTCTTGCTGTTGAACCTTCACTATTCATTACTGGTAGTAATATTTCATAAACATAGCGTTCTTCCCACCATTCGCTCTGAACCAGCAGCTCCCGGAGGAGAAAGGCTGCTGCCAGTCATTTTTACAATGTCAATTAGTCCCCCAGAAATGATAAAACCCCAGGGATTATCATTAATCAATAAAATCCCCAAGGGCCGAACTTGAAAACTGGACGTTATGCTGCCAACAATTAACTTTCATCAACAACTCAGAGGCAGAAGTCAGAGCTCCGTGCAACTCAAATGATGTTCTGGCGGGAACCAGGTGCACGGGAAAAAAATAATAATTATGTTTTATAAGAGGCAGGAACATTTTTCTTGAGGAATTTTAATACTCCAATCATTAGCGGAATCATTTCAGCCCTATATTTTACACCTATTTATGTTCATGGTATAATCCTCCAATTTTAAAGGACAGAATGACAGGAAACAAGAAAACTGGAAGGAGAATTATACAATTCCATAAGGAACTAAGTGAATCAATTTTAGCATTAAAAGGAGTTTTTTTACTACTTGAATATGTAACATTATGTCCAGATGCTCAAGGAAATTTGTCTCCCAGAGAGACTTTGAAGACACAATGCACTGATACATAAATTGAAACATGAATATATGTTTACCTCAACAATAGCAGATTTATATCAACATAACTACATTAACATTCTGTGTCCTTACAGAGCTTTGTTGGAGGCTTTAACCACTGGCAGCAGCCTCAGAAGAACCTCCTCTGAAGCAGAGTATTTCTTCAGGTCAAACACATCCAGATCTTTTCCTGATGACACTAAGATGAAACCCAGAGCTGACCACTGAGCAGGAGACAGTTTATCTGTGGAGAGACTTCCTGAACTCAGAGACTGTTGGATCTCCTCCACTAGAGAACGATCATTCAGTTTCATTCAGACAGTGGAACAGATTGATGCTTTTCTCTGCAGACACATTCTCACTGATCTTCTTCTTGATGTACTGAACTGTTTCCTGATTGGTCTGTGAGATACTTCCTGTCTTTGTCAGCAGACCTTGTAGGAGTCTCTGATTGGTCTGCAGTGAAAGTCCCAGGAGGAAGCGGAGGAACAAGTCCAGGTGTCCATTTGGACTCTGTAAGGCCTGGTCAACAGCTCTCTGATGGAGAGACTTTAGTTTAGGTTTGTTAAATAATGAAGATTTAGATGTTTGTTTCTCTTCCATCAGGTTGACCCCAGAGTTGATGAAGGTCAGATGAACATGAAGAGCAGCCAGAAACTCCTGAACACTCAGATGGACGAAGCAGAACACCTTGTCCTGGTACAGACCTCTCTCCTCTTTAAAGATCTGTGTGAACACTCCTGAGTACACTGAGGCTGCTCTGATATTGATGCTACACTCTCTCAGGTCTGATTCATAGAAGATCAGGTTTCCTTTCTGCAGCTGATCAAAAGCCAGTTTTCCCAGAGACTTAATCATCTTCCTGCTCTTTGTACTCCAGTGTGGATCTGTTTCATCTCCTCCATCATACTTGACCTTCTTCACTTTGGTCTGAACCACCAGGAAGTGGATGTACATCTCAGTCAGGGTTCTGGGCAGCTCTCCTCCCTCTCTGGTCTTCAACACATCCTCCAGAACTGTAGCAGTGATCCAGCAGAAGACTGGGATGTGGCACATGATGTGGAGGCTTCGTGATGTCTTCATGTGGGAGATGATCCTGCTGGCCTGTTTCTTCTCTGAATCTCTTCCTGAAGTACTCCTCCTTCTGTGGGTCATTGAACCCTCTGACCTCTGTCACCATGCCAACACAATGAGGAGGGATCTGATTGGCTGCTGCAGGTCGTGTGGTTATCCAGAGAGAGCAGAGGGAAGCAGTTTCCCCCTGATGAGGTTTGTCAGCAGAACATCCACTGAGGTGGACTCTGTAGCATCAGTCAGGATCTCCTTGTTGTGGAAGTCCAGTGGAAGTCGACTCTCATCCAAGCCATCAAAGATGAACAGAACCTGGAAGTGTTCAAAGCTGCAGATTTCTTTGGTTTCAGTAAAGAAGTGATGAACAAGTTCCACCAAGCTGAACTTTTCTCTTTCAGCACATTCAGCTCTCTGAACGTGAATGGAAATATGAACTGGATGTTTGGTGGGCTTTGTCTTCAGCCCAGTCCAGAGTGAACTTCTGTGTTAGGACTGTTTTCCCAATGCCAGCCACTCCCTTTGTCATCACTGTTCTGATTGGTTGATCTCTTCCAGGTGGGACTTTAAAGATGTCTTCGTGTCTGATCGTTGTTTCTGGTCTGTGTGGTTTCCTGGATGCTGTTTCAATCTGTCTGACCTCATGTTCATCATTGACCTCTCCAGTCCCTCCCTCTGTGATGTAGAGCTCTGTGTAGATCTGGTTCAGAAGGGTTGGACTTCCTGCTTTAGCAATTCCCTCAAACACAGACTGGAACTTCTTCTTCAGACCAGATTTAAGTTGATGACAAACTGGAGCAAAAAGTCCTTAATTAACACAATAATGAAAATCAGATATGAAAGTAAATCCTTTTTTGAAATTGATTACATCACTTCTCAAGATGTTTTAGATAAATGTGATTCCATCTTTTGACAATTCAGCAAATGTATTATTTATCCATCAGGCTAAATCTCTTTAGAAATCCTCTTACTGCTCTGCAGATGGTCAGCCAGCTTTTCCTGCTTCATCCTCCTCAGGAAGTTCAGTGTGATCTTCATCACTGCCTCTCTGCTACTCCTCTTCTGTTCTTCATCATCACCTTCCAACACCTCATCATCTCTCTGACTCTCTGAATGTTCTGGGTAATCTGGACTCAGAACTTTCTGGATCTTCTTCAGTTCTTTCTTCACAAAAGTAACAATGTTGTCCTCCAGCAGCTGGAACAGAATAATAGATGAAGGAAACATCAGAGTGAAATCATGGAGCCAAACACCAGATGGATGTTGGACAGACTGACAGTCCTCTGGTCTACAAAGTGCAGCATGAAGGTGACTTTGAACAGAACTCATGGAAAAGTATTTGTTGTTCATATACAGACCATAAATATGGAGTCCAACTGTGTTTGATGCTGCTGGGCAGATGGACCCCTGGGACCTCTGAGCTCTGCTGGTCCACTCTGTGGAGGAA